CCCTGGCCAAGGAGGAGACCCTACATCTACCTAGGACCGAACTCACAACCTCCTGATTGTGAGGCAAGAGCTCCACCTCTAGGCCACAGGTCTTCTAGTCCAGTCTCCTGCTCAAGCAGGAGACCCAATACCATTTCAGACAAATGGTTGTCCAATTTCTTCTTAAAAATCTCCAGTGATGGAGCACCTACACCATCAGGAGGCAAGCTATTCCACGGATTAATTGTTCTCACTGTCAGAAAATCTCTCCTTACTTCTAGGTTGGATCTGTCTTTAACAAGCCATTACTTTTTGTCCTGTCCCCCACGTGCTTTGGAGAATAAGCCAATCCGCTCTTCCTTGTAGCAGCCCTTCAAGTACTGGAAAACAGTTATCACGTGCTTGATCCCCTTCAAATGTTGATAATCCCCAACTCTAACATCAGAAATACAATGATGAAAGAAATATATATATATATGTGTATGTAAGTTTCTGGGCCTTTTTTCTGCTGACAAACTGCAACTCTGTGTTGCTCTCTGGGAGACTCAGATAGCTATTTCTGCCTCTTAAGGCATCTTCGGTGAGCCACACCCACTTCTCAGATATCCTCCCTGTAAAGGTACAATATATATATCTGTAGCACTGCAAGAAAATTCAAGTCCCTTAGTTCTCTCTGAGGATTATATATATTCATGTGTCTGGCTAGGTTGTGTTTCCATAAAACTCCTGAAGGTTTGCAAACCGCCTTTCTGATTGGGTCTATTTTGTGGGTGAATGAGGCTGCCTGTTCACTTCCAAAATCTTTTCTTTTTTTTTTTTACCAGAAGCTATCTCTTTCCATATCAGATTGCAATTCTTTTTTGTTAAAAAGTCTGAGTGAAAATTCCTACCCTTTTCTTTCTTTGCTGTGCAACGCTTTCAAAATATCCAACATTTGGGGGAGTGGGTGTTTTATTGCTCAGCTTTTGCCTAATAAACACAGTGATTGTTTACCCAAAGCCCAGCATTTCACAATTTGAAAACCTCAAAGGCTAGTATTTAAACATGCACTTAAGAATAATCTCAACACCGAGATTAATAAATCTCCGAAGCCCGGCTATCGGTATTTTGAAAATAGAGAAAACGGAGCTATATAGAAGCTAACCAAATCACGAGCACATTTCTTGCAGCAATTACCACGAGATCAGCAGGAAATCAATCACGGATAGCAGTAATAAAAGATGATCTGAGTCTTAAAAAGCTAGAGGTAAATGGAGCATTTAAAAAGAAAAATGCAAGCATAATCAAGTTGGACTTGGTGGTGCAAGATTGGGAATATGCCCTCTCATAACTCCTACGGCATGCTCTGTTGATTTACTTCCTTGTTTATGAGCCATCACCAAGTGAACGTTGTATCAGCAAAAGCTGGGAAGGAAGGAAGGAAGGAAGGGAGGGAGGGAGGGAGGGAGGGAGGAGGGAAGGAAGGAAGGAAGGAAAGTAGGTGGCAGGAGGGAGGGGGAAAGAAGAAAAAGAAAGAGGGAGGGAGGAAGAGAAGGGAAGGAGAGAGAGAGAGAGGTAGTAGGAGAGGAGTGAGCGAGTGAGCAGGATGGAAGGAGGGAGGGAGAAAGGAAGGAAGGTGGCAGGAGGGAGGAGGGAAAGAAGAAAGAGAAAGAGGGAGGAAGGAAGGGAAGGAAGGGAGAGAGGGGGAGGTGGCAGGAGGGAGGGAGAGACAGAAAGGGAGAGAGGGAGCAGGAGAGAGAGAGAGGGGGCTGGAGGGAGGGAGGGAGGTGGCAGGAGGGAGAGAGAGGGAGGGAGAGAAAGAGATTGCAGTATCCTTCCCTTGGAGTGGGGAGGGAATGGGGATTTTGCAGTATCCTTCCCCTGGAATGTGGTGGGAATGGAGATTTTGCAATATCCTTCCCCCAAGAGTGAGGAGGGAATGGAGATTTTGCAGTATCCTTCCCCCAGGAGAGGGGAGGGAATGGGGATTTTGCAATATCCTTCCCCTGGAGTGGGGTGGGAATGAAGATTTTGCAGGATCCTTCCCCTGTAGTGGTGTGGGAATGGGGATTTTGCAATATCCTTCCTCCAGGAGTGGGGAGGGAATGGGGATTTTGCAGTATCCTTCCCCTGCCATGCCCACCAAGCTACGCCCACAGAACCGGTAATAAGAAAATTTGGATTTCACCACTGCCCTAAACTTTGTAGTTGTGAGAATGCTTCCTCTGCCGTGCTGGGGGCTAGATTTGGCTTTTTGGAAAAACACAATGCTAGATTTGGCTTAGAGGTGGTATTCAGCGGTTCGGACTCATTCAGGTGAACCGGTAGCGGAAATTGCCAGTGGGCAATTCTATGCCAACCCTATTTAGGCATGTTCTTGAGGCCGGGCGCATGCACAAAAGGCCCATGCGCAAGCATAGCACATGCACGAAAGGCCGGGCTCATGCACGGAAAGCAAGCACGCATGCGAACCGGGCGCACATGCGTGCGAAGGAAGCGTACACGTGTGCAGCAAACCGGTAGTCGCAAAATGTGAAACCCACCGCTGATTTGGCTGTTAGGAAAACACGATTTTAAATTCGGCTTTTTGGAAAAATGCAGTGTTAAGAGGTTGGGTTTTTTTGGAAAAACACGATGCTACATTTGGCTTTTTGGAAGGACACGATGCTAAAAGTTGCTTTTGGGGTGAAAAGCACGATGCTAGATTTGGCTTTTTGGAAAGGAAAAAAAAAACAAACACTTTTTTGGAAAGTGCCCAGGCAGCCCTGAGCTGGGCCCTCCTGGGAGACACGAACGTGCCAGAGCCGTTTTTTTGCCATGCACTGGTGGCGTCTATGAAAAAAAAAAAGTCAAAAGTCTCGCTCCGATCCTCTCTCGGCGGCTGCAGACTGCAGGAAGATGTCCGTGGGGTTTTCTTGGCAAGAGTAGAGAGGCAGCTCGCTTCTCTTTCTTCCCGGATGCCTTTTCAACTTCCCCGTCTAGCCTGCAGCCCTGAGATTTTTCTCACGGTCTCTCCCCCCCCTGCCCCTCTCCAAATCCTGACCAGGTCTGACCCCCCCCCGGGAACCGTTTCAAGAGCGGCCAAGGTGGGCGAGGTGTTATGACAGCCACATGAAAAGGCCCTGCTGGTTTCATGGAGTGGCCAGCCCATTGATGTGAACGAAGCCCCTTCCTGCCTAGCGCCACCGTAAGACCGAGGTCTGGTCAAACAATGGAGTTAAGATGCTGATTTGCATGGAAGTTTGTCTAAAGATTGTTGGGTGGCATCCTGCCTTTCCTAGTGTCTCTCTCTCTCTCTCTCTCTCTCTCTCTCTCTCTCTCTCTCTCTCTCTCTCTCATCAGAATAACAGAATAAGGGACCTTGTAGGCCATCGAGTCCAACCACACACAAGCAGGAGATCCTACACTATTTCTGACAAATGAGCTGTCCAGTCTCTTCTTGAAAGCTTCCAGTGATGAAGCTCCCACAATTTCTGCCTAAGGAATTCTGGAAATAGAACCAACAAATACGAGAAAGAATTGATTAGAATTATGATTATAATGGGTAGAATTATAATAGTCAGATATTGGAAATTAGATGTGAATTTTAGAATAGAAGAATGGTATTGTGAAATGTGGAAATTAGCTTTAAACGATAAAATGACATGTGATATTAAAATTAGAAATGGTGACTATAAAGAAGATATTTTCTGGAAAATTTGGAAACCATTCGTGGATTATGCGCTGGGAAAATTAGATGCTTCGGTACCTGTACCCGAGAACGTGGATTTTGGCGATCATGAGGATATATCTGAAGAACCAAATCTTCCTTTCTTATGTATAGCACAGGGTGAAGTATTGTATATGTTTTTTGTTTGTAATGTTAATTTAATAATATAATAATAATTTTTAAAAAAGGAATTCTGGGAGTTGCAGTCCACACCTGCTGGTTGGGGAATTCTGGGAGTTGCAGCCCACACCTGCTGGCTAAGAATACTAGGAGTTGCAATCCACACCTCCTAGTTGGAGAATTCTGGGAGTTGGTAGTCCACACCAGTGGTGGGATTCAAATTTTTTTACTAACGGTTCTGTGGGCATGGCTTGGTGGGCGTGGCTTGGTGGGCGTGGCAGGGGAAGGATACTGTAAAATCCCCACTTCCTCCCGATCAGCTGGGACTCGGGAGGCAGAGAATAGATGGGGGCGGGGCCAGTCAGAGCGATGGTATTTACCGGTTCTCCGAACTACTCAAAATTTCCGCTACCGGTTCTTCAGAACCTGCTGAATACCACCTCAGGTCCACACCTGTTGGTTAGGGAATTCTGGGAGTTGAAGTCCGCCAATGCTAATTAAGGAATTCTGGGAGATGAGGGAGAGACAGAAAGGGAGGGAGGGAGCAGGAGAGAGGGAGGGAGCGGGAGAGAGAAAGAGGTGGCGGGAGGGAGGGAGGTGGCAGGAGGGAGAGAGGAGGAGGGAGAGAAAGAGAGGGAGGGAGGAAAGGAAGGGGGAGAGAGGGAGGTAGCAGGAGAGAGGAGTGAGCGAGCGAGCGAGTGGGATGGAAGGAGGGAGGGAGGAAGGAAGGAAGGAGGGAGGAGGGAGGGAAAGAAGAAAGAGAGGGAGGGAGGAAGGAGGGAAGGGAAGGGAAGGAGGGAGGGAAGGGAAGGGAAGGAGGGAGGGAGGAAGGAGGGAAGGAAGGAAGGTGGCAGGAGAGAGGAGGGAAGGAAGAAAGAGAAAGAGGGAGGGAGGAAGGAAGGTTTCTTCTTTTTTTTAAAAAAAAAAAAAAGGATACCCACAGAAAACAGAGTGCACTTTTCTCTGACACTACCTAGGCACCCTCCAGACATACTGTGATGCAACTCCCAAGATTTTTGACGAAGACATCTGGAGGGACACAGATTGGAAAGAACTAAAGCAACTGGGCTAACTGGGATGAAACTTGAATTATGGCTGGTTGGGCAATCCTGGGAGTTGAAAGTCCAGAAGCCTTAAAGTCGCCCAGGTTGACTCTGCAGGTCTTCTCAAAAAGGCCGGGGTGTTGCAGGAACGCGGTCTGTGAAGGACTCACCTAATGTCTTCATCCGTGACAATGAAGGCTTTGCAGAGAGGCTGCGATGTGTTTAACCACACAGCTGGGTTTTTTTCCACGGCGGTCGAGAGTTGTCCTGTGATGGGCGCGGAACTCGTGTGCAATGCGCTGGCCACAGCCGACAAGAGGGTGTCATCACTGTTCCCGGGGCCCACTCCTAGAGAGCGAATGCAAAATCGGCTCGTTAAATCTCAGCATATTTGATTTGCTATCAAAAACGCCAGATAAGTTCTCTGCCCCCAAAGACAAAGCTTAGCATAAGCTCAGTTGGTGAACAAGCAAATTCTACCTGTCATTGATATAACGCAGGTTGTAAGTCCTTGACTTACAAGCACAGTGAAGCCCAACATTCCTGTCGCTGAGCGAGACAGTGGTTCGTTGAGTTTTGCCCCCATTTTACGACCTTTCTTTGTCACCGTTGTTAAATGAAATCACCGCAGTTGTTAAATGAGTAACATAGTTGAGAAGTGTATCTGGCTTCTCTCACCGACTTTGCCAGAAGGTCGCAAAAGGAGGATCACCTGACCCCAGGACACTCACTGCAACCGTCGTAAATATGAACCAGTTGCCAAGCGTCTGGATTTTGATCATGTGACCACGGGGATGCTGCGATGGTCGTAAGTGTGAAAAGCGGTCATAAGTCACTTTTTTCAGTGCCGTTGTAACTGCGGTCACTAAACGAAACGTCGTAAATTGAGGACTCTCTGCAGTCTGTTAGAACAGTGTTTTTCCAACTTGGCAACTTTTAAGATGTGTGGACTTCAATTCCCAAAATTCCCCAGCCGGGATGTGCAAACTGATTTCCTGCACTTCCATTCGTGGATCACCACTAAATCCATCCGCTCAAAGGGATCCATTAAAACCTCAACATTACCTTGAAGGCCTTTAGGAAGCTCCATGGATTTTATGATCTGCTCACTGACATCTGATGCACTTAAGCCTTGAAGCCTCTTCTCCCAGAAAAGCTAAAAAAGATTAAAAAAAAAAACCCAACAACCATGATTAATGGACACCGTAATTATACGTTACTATACATGCACCCAACCATACAGGTAGCCCTTGGCTTAAAATCACAGGGGTGAATAGGCAGGGGTGAAATGCTCCCCATTCGGACTGGATCACCCGATCCGGTAGCGATGGAGGCGGGTGGTTCGGAGAACCGGTAGCAAAAATCCCTGCCCGCCCCCCCACCCCCATGCCCAGCTCAGCCGCACAATCATCAGAGGCTTTTTTTTTTTACTTTTAAAAGAATTTTTTCTACAACCTCTTTGGCCAAAAAATGCTTTCAAAAGAAAAAAAAAAGGCTCTGACGATTGCACGCTCAGATGGGATCCTCAAAGGCTTTTAAAAGAAAAAAAACCCCTTTTTTTCTTTTAAATGCCTCTGACAATCCAAGCAGAGTTGCCTGATCGTCAGAGGCTTTTTAAAAAGCCTCTGCCGATCAGGCAAACTCATCTGGGATCATCAGAGCCTTTTGAAAGCATATTTTTACAACCTCTTTGCCGAAGAGGTTGTAGAAAAAAAAATGGTTTTAAAAGTTAAAAAAAAAAATTGGCCACGCCCACAGAACCGGTAGTAACAAATTTTAGATTTCACCACTGACAATAGGGACCAGAAAATCTGTCAAGTGATGTGATTGATAAGCGAAGTGAAGCGAGCTGAGCTACAGCAATGCTCGTATGCCCACAGATATGGCTCCATGTGCCACTTGTGGCACCCGTACCATAGGTTCACCATCACGGAATAGGTTGTTAAAAAATGCTTTTAAAAAGTAAAAAAAAAAAGACTCTGACGATCATGAGGCACAGCTGTGATCGTCAGAGCCTTTTCTTTTTTACTTTGAAAAGCAAAAAAGCAAAACCTTCTCTGCATGTGTTGTGGCCCCGCCCTCTGAGCCTATCGCATCGGAGGAAGAAAGCTCCGAACATGAGGAAGAGGAGTCAGCCAGGCCTCCCTCTCCAGGCCCCTCCCCTCTGGCACTGTCTCAGGTGCCGGCCGAGGGAGAGGAGATTAGCCAGGAGCCAGGTGTCTCGGATGAGAGTGAAGGAGAGCCGTCATTCCTGGATGCACGCCAACGAAGGCGTGATAAACGGTTGCAGCAGTTAAGGAGGCATGCTAGGGATTAGAACTGAGTCACTGGACCACACCACAGAGACTATATAAGAGAGGGTGGTGGCTGGTAAAACTCCGTGACGAACAAAAACGAACTTTGGCTAGTCACTTGAACAACGTCTGAAGCTGCCGAAAGGGATATTGTTTTGCTGGACTATTTGCAATGCGTATGTAATTTTATGTTATCTGTTGCAGTAAAAGCTCTTGGCAGACGGTGATTATATTGCTGCCAAGTCTGAGATAACGACCTGTGTGCGTGCCAAGTACTTTCTTAACCCTCGGCTGGCTGTGTTTGTGTGTGTGGGGGGACGGGGACAGATCAGCATGCACAGAGGATACAAAACACATTACTTCCTGGTTAAAAACAGGAAGTAATGACAACCGGGCGGGTGGGCGGAGCCTCGCGCCGCGATCGCTACCAGTTCTCTGAACCACCCGCCACAATCACTACCGGATCGGACAATCCGGTCTGAACTGGGAACATTTCACCCCTGGTTTGACACCCCTGAAATAGATATTCATCTTATGGCTCTTCTGCAGCCATTAGAACAACAGCTACTTTTGTTTATTTTGATACATACAGGTAACCCTTAACCAAATTGAAAGCAGAATTTCAAATGCTAAGCAAAGCAATTGTTAAGCAAGTCACGTCCAAATTTTATGACCGGGTTTGTTTGTTTGTTTGTTTTTTGCCACAGTTGTTAAACAAATCACTGCAGTCGTTGAGTGAATTCTACAGTCATTAAATGAAGCTCCATAGTTTAGGACCGGGATATTTATGAGACCGCCTTCTGCCACCAGTAGCCTCTCACCAACCAGTACGCTCCCATAGAGAGGGGCTCCTCAGGGTGCCGTCGGCCAAACAGTGTCGACTCTCCCCAGGGGGAGAGCCTTCTCTGTGGGGGCACCCGTCATCTGGAACGAGCTCCCCCCGGATAGGGAGGATCCCGGACCTGCACGCTTTCCGCCGTTTCTATTTATCTATCAAAATATTTCTATTTCAGCAGGCCGGCCTGGCCTAACCTCTCTTTTAAATTGTTTTTAAAACATTTTTAAATTTTTAAATTTGAAACTTGTCTTATGAATTTGGGGTGTTTTAAATCTCGTTTTCCGGGCCAATTATTTAATTGTATTTTAATGGTTTTTTAACATTTATATTATATGTATTTTATATGGCTGATCACCGCCCTGAGTCCTTCAGGAGTAGGGCGGTATACAAATTCAATTAATAATAATAATAATAATAATAATAATAATAATAATAATAATAATACTGGCTTCCTCATTGATTTTGCTTCTCAGAAACCATCTGGAAAGATCCCAAAATGGTGATCAAATGAGCCCGGGACACTGCCACCATCATAAGTACATGCAAGTTACCAAGCACCCAAATTCTGATCACACGGCCATAGGGATGCTGTGATGGTCATTAAATGTGAGGACTGGTAATCAGACAGGTTTTTCAGTATCATTGAATGAATTCTTGCAGTTGAGGACTACTTGTATATAAAAATATAAATTGCTGTCTTGTGCACACGCTGAAGGGAGACCTCTACCAATACTACCCAACCATACAAAAAGTTTCTGGTTTTTTCCAGAAAGTTTAAGTTTAACAGTAAACAGAATTGGAAGGGACCTTGGAGGTCATCTAGTCCAACCCCCACCTGCTCAAGCAGGAGATCTGTCCTAGGGATTCAAACCACCGAACTGCTGATCAACGAACTCAGTGTCTTAGCCACTTGAGCCAAAGAATGCTCAGCCCGGCAATTTATTATTTAAACAACCCTTTTTCACAGACTTCCTTTCCCCCCCCCCTCTCTCTCTATCTGTCATAATTAATCATCCTTCCGTGGTTTACTTTCCGCTGCCTTTTCACACTCAAGCTAGCAGGCAACCCTTTTAAAGCAGCCTGCCTGCACAGTGCAAAGCGAGATGTAAAATGTAAATGCACATTTGCGTTTTTACAGGTGGTTTGAAAAACCGGAAGCATTAGCAGCCCAGACGGGCCTGGCTAAGAATGGAATCGCAACCAGTGTGGGAGGCAGCAAAAAAAACCCTCAAAGGTCTTTACCGAAACTGCTATTTGCATGACTATATATATAGTCATGCAAATATATATATATATATATATTTTCGTAGGCCTTTATGTGTATTTCTCTTTAGCCAGGTTCTTCCTACGTAAACCAAGATTTTTATGCAGCCCTAGTTCAGTGAAATCCCAATCCACTAGTTTCTAGGCTTTTTTTCTTCAGGCAGCCAGCAAGCACCCTGGCTTAGTCTCCCAATGGGCAACAGGGTGCTTGCTGGCTGCCTGAAGAAAAAAAAGGGATCTTAGAACCGAGCATGGGGAATAAAGGGTTAACCCACCCAACACACACACACACACACACACACACACACACACACACACTGAACGGTACAGCCCTTCCTTCCTGCTGCAAATTTGACATTTAGCTGTCACCTCCAGTCAATGCAAATCATTAGGCTAATAACACAAAAGATGCAATTCATGCCCTACAGAGCGGGACCCTGGGGGTTTAAAACTCTGCAACAGGGTTGTCAAAGCGATGCTTGGTAAACCCGGTGGGGATTGAAGTCCGGTGAGAGATGACGCTTGGATGAGAATCTGGGTTTAAGGGCCTAAAGCAGGGGTGTCTAACCTCAGCAACTTTAAGGCTTGTGGACTTCAACTCCCAGAATTCCCTTGCTAGTGATGGACATCCCTGTCCTAAAGCACTGTGGATTTTCTTTAAAGAGGGGATGGGGATGGAATAGGAATAGGAATAGGAATAGGAATAGGAATAGGAATAGGAATAGGAATAGGAATAGGAATAGGAATAGGAATAGACTAGACTAGACTAGACTAGACTAGACTAGACTAGACTAGAATAGAATAGAATAGAATAGAATAGAATAGAATAGAATAGAATAGAATAGAATAGAATAGAATAGAATAGAATAGAATAGAATAGGAGCTGGAAGGAACCTTGGAAGTTTTATAGTCCAGCCCCCTGCTTAGGCAGGAAACCCTAACTCTAACCCTACACCACTTCAGACAAATGGTTATCCAACATAGAAGTTGTGGGTGCTTCATCACTGGAGGCTTTTAAGAAGATACTGGATAGCTACCTATCTGAAATGGTATAGGCTCTCCTGCTTGAGCAGGGGGCTGGACTAGAAGACCTCCAAGGTCCCTTCCAGCTCTATTCTGATTCTGAGTATTAGCTTTTTTGGCTAAATTTGACACCCTCTGCCTCATTCTAGTCACAAATGAAAATATTTGAACTGTATACAAATTCAGCACCTCTCTGAGGCAATCCTCAACTTACAACCAGCGATGGGATTCAGCTGGCTCGGGCAGATTCGGGCAAACCGGTAGATAAATTGCTGGCTAGCCCCTCCCATCTCCTCCAGCCCCTTCCAGGAGTCCCCACGCGCCCCATTTTGGCTCCCAGGTAAGTGCAGGGAGGCCTACTAGGCCCAAAACGGGGCACGGGTGCACCCCCCCCCCGCAGCCCATTTTCACTCTCAGGAGCCTGCAGGAGGCCTACTAGGCCCAAAATGGTGGTGGGTGCGGCACGTTTCCCCCCCTCGGCCTGTTTTTTCTTCGAGGGGGGTGCAGGAGGCCGAGTGCTGCCTGTCACACTCCCTGGCCATGCCCACCAAGGCCATGCCCACCCAGCCGGTCATTAGGGCAGAGAACCGGTTGCTAAATTATTTGAATCCCACCACTGCTTACAACATTTGTTTAGCAACGATTTGAAGTTACGGCATTGAAAAAAGGTGACAACCCATCCTCACGTCCACATCTCTGAGTATGCCCACAGTTACATGACCAAAATTTCAGGTGCTT